ATAGATATATATATATATATATATGGATGTGTAAACAGGAAGATGAGACTGTCAGGCATGTCCTATGCGAGTGCCGGAGTTATCGTCGTATATAATAAAATGTTAACGTACTCAGATAAAACTTTTAATGGAAGTAAAATTAAAAATTCTGAAAATGTCAGTAAAACTATTTCGAACATCATAAAAACTGAAACAGGGAAAAAAAGTACACAAAGGGTGTACCAAAAAACATAAGTGTAAATAATTTGAACTTGTCATTTATCGCTCATGCTGAAAATCTAGGTAAACAGTTTACCAAACAGTTCAAAGGATATAGAAGAATATTTAGGCAAAACGAATAATACTGGATAATCAATATTTTTTAGAGCAATTGATAGATATGATATTCTAGCAGTGATACAGACGTTGAAAAACAAGAAGACTGAGGATATATGGAATAAGTGTCTATATTGTCAAAAAGGGTGGTCATTTTTTGTCGGACGTTCTTGAAAATATCATTAATACATCTCTGAAGGGTGTTTTCCCTCAATGCTTCAGTTGGCAAGAATCTCCCCAATCTATAAAAAAGGATCCCCAGAACTAACTCAAAACTTCAGGCAAATATCAATCATGCCTTGCTTTTCAAAAATATTTGAAACTATTCTTTATAATCAACTAGTTAATTACTTCGATAAGAACAGAATTCTTGAAGACGTTTGTTACTGCCTCACACGAGAGGCAAGGGTTTTGTATTTTTACCAGAACTTCGGCATTTTATAGGCACTTGTTCTGAATATATTCAGGTATTATTATGACTCCCACTTTGGGGTATGTGTTTGAGGAGTTGCTTCCGAACTTTGTCTGCCGGTGGCACAGTGATACATCTTACTGAATCAATTGCAGGCAGAGCTTGTGACTAGCTGGAATTAATATCGTTTCAACAGGATATTAAGACGGAGAATACCGTCTTAATATCCTGTTGAAACGATATTAATTCCAGCTAGTCACAAGCTCTGCCTGCAATTGATTCAGTAAGATGTATCACTGTGCCACCGGCAGACAAAGTTCGGAAGCAACTCCTCAAACACATACCCCAAAGTGGGAGTCATAATAATACCTGAATATATTCAGAACAAGTGCCTATAAAATGCCGAAGTNGCACGATTGTATGTATGTACTGTATTATTATTTTTATTGCACAGTATCTTCTGAAAATTTTGTATTTTACTTTTTGAACATATGTTCATTTTATGGTATTTTGTGACATGTTCTAAAATAAAAATTTGAATTTTGAATTTTTTCCACGTTGCACTATACTGCTCAAGACGACTATTATCGCAAACGCCAAAAAAAACCCAGCAGTGGGTCAGCCGCGACAAAAAGCCAATGCGTAATGAAAGGGTTAATCTAAGCTATATTATACAGTAACAGCATGGCACTGGGAAAATTTGAAAAATAAGAACTGATATAAATTGACGGATGTAGCGTTACTGTGTGGTAGCAAAACATCATGAAAAATGAGAATTGAAACTTTCTGTTTTTACCACTTTTATTTGTAACCAACGTTACTGCAGTTTCGTCCTATAAGGATATTTTCAAACTCATACATCAATCTAATGTATAAATGTAAAATGTCTGCAGTAACGTTAGTTACAAATAAAAGTAGTAAAAAAAAAGGCATAGAAAGTTTCAAGAACTGATATTTTCAAACAGGTTGTCAATCATCAAGATCTCCCAAACAAAACCTACCTCATTCAATTGAAGATGGTGCAACAAACAGGTCTCTCCCTCCTTTGGTTATGGAACCATTTATCAATCATTTGATGGAGGATCTTACATGACTGGGCACAGATCATTAACACATGCAGTTGGGAAGATTCAGCCATTTCCTTTGATTTGTGATTTTCTGCCTCCACGACCTCCAGATCTTTTGGTTGCAAGCCATGTTGCTAGTTTACTGAACTTACTCTATTCCAGCACAAGTTTAATAGATCTCATATGGAAGTACAAAACATTCCAGCACAGCCATATTGATAAATAAACCAGGTCAGTGTGAAGGTTATTCATTGGCTTGTGGAGCTCATAGGTCTCTTTGAATTAATGTATGAATTCATCTCTCTTTAATTTTGTATGTCCTCTCTGTAGAAAGATGTTGAGCCGAACTCTCCTGGAAATCAAAAATATAGAAAATAAATACATTTAATCCTATCTAAATTCATTAATTTTTTCATTCAAGCTCCTATTGATTTGGTAAGCCAAATCCCTCTCAATACAAATATTCATTTTAAACGTGACTTTAATCCCTCAACTTTATTTTTGAATCATTTCACAGACAGTGGATTAATTCATAGAAAATCGTCAGGTCCAGATGACATTCTGATGTTTATACTAAAACAGAGTTCTTCCTTCATCAATACAGCCATCAACACATTTGATCAATATGTCGTTCTCATCACCAGTGTGAAGGTGGCCATGTGTTTTCATCCATGTGTTTGGTGAAAGAGAGGCGAGCGCGCTATTCCGCTATAGGTCGTTTCACCGCAATTAT